ACCCAGAAAATGTTATATGATTTTGAGATAATGTCTAGTAATTGTAGATGCCATACACTTTACCTAATTTTGTGATATGGCTTTTTGCCCAACTTTATTTCTCATAAATCATCTCCTCTCTTAGAAATCATTAATATTTATCCAAGTACATTACAGTGTAATCATTTTCTACAACCCTGAGTTTACATTATAGCAAAATGTGCGACCAACACAGGGTTAGAAGAAAGAAACAAAATCTTCAGGATAATTACAAGACTCAGCATTGCATTATCACATATAATCTATGGGGGAAAAAAAATCAGCCATGGCAATAATTCATGCCTTGATTACACCATTCCCAGTGCAATTATATGCACAATTATACAAACTTTCCTTCATGAAGTAGTCAAAAAGAGTTATAATTAGAATTTGTAGATAAAAAGTTTTGTATAGTTTCATAGACTGTGTGTAGCTAGTGTTATGATCATCTACTCAGCTGTCCAAAGAAAGTCATATAACACTCTGCCTTATTCCCTTATTTATTTAATAATTAGGATGTAGTTACAATTCAAAAACAAGATTATTTAGGTTAATTCAGCCACTTCTGCTAACAGATTTGTTTTTTTCCAACTTTATTAAACCAATGAGGGGAAATATAAATATAATAATATCAAATTGGAAGGTTGAGAAATGTCTCTTTCCTCATGTCCTTGTGTTTTTGTGAAGATATTTTTATGTTTGACTTAAGCATGAAACTGAAAAATATCAATTTTATTTCCTTGTTTAACTAACTACTGTACCTTTTGGGATGTGGAAGACAACTTCAGTCAATTTTTATTATCTTTTTGCCTTTCATCGCATCCTCCAAAAATGGGATAACCTTTGTCTTAAGTAAAAAGACTAAAACCTTGTGTCCTCTCATTTAATTAATGAGTAAATGACTTTTGAACTAATTTATATTTTCACACTATAAATAGGATGACAAACAGTGTATTATCATTTTACATTTTCTTGGAACAGTACCTTCAAAAGAGTATGGACATTAGCTTTATGGTACACATCAACATGTAACAAGTGTTCAAGTGCATTTTTTTTAAAAAAAAACAGTTTCCCTTAACAATTTAGGAAAGTATTTCTGTTTAAGATATTCAGAAAGAGGAGAGATATACTATGATTATGACGATTTAATGGATGATATGTAGAGCTTGCACTCAAAAATTTAACTTTTGAAAGCAATATTGGCTGATTACCAAAACTGTGCTGTCACTGATGACATGTTAATTACAAATCTACAGGTAAATATTATGATGCTGTATGTTAATTGCTTTCCTCCATATAAATATTTATACATATGTAAAAATATAACTAAGTTCTAGTGAATGTTGCAAAATTATTGCTTGGGAAAGAAAATGTATTCGCACAATAGATTCCATACATTAATAAAAAATAAGATAATGTGGAATAAATGAACTCAAAAGAAAGTCCCAATACTGCTAATAATTAATCCAATAATTAATGCTGATTGTACATAAATAAGTTATAATAAGAGAGTAAGGTCACTAACGATAACATTTAATGGTTGATATTTAACTCAGCTTTCTAGGCCAATAGTTAGCTACTCATGTGTTGAATTAAAACAGGTGTGGTTTTTGCACATGCCATCAATCACACAGAAAAATGTGGTCTTTCATAGGGAAGCTTTGTCTATACTTAGAAGAAGAGAAATGAATTTGGACCTTTAAGGCTTTTTCTGGGCATCTGGTTCAATGTCCTTATTCAACCAGCTTGAATGATTCAATTTATTCAACTTCCTTCATTGTAATCAAGTTATCTGCTCTGCGGATGATATGTGGTTGCTAGAAAGCTCTACCTTGAGATCCATCTTGGTCCCCAGACATCTACAAGAGTCAAGATCTCAAACTATGGAGTGATTGTTAAGTTACAGAAACTGACTGAAGAGGGAAGATGGGTAGAAGAAAAATAAAAAAGCATGCCTTCTGCGATTGTTTCCAATCTCAAATGGTCTAACACTTGATGAACATGTGAAAGGAAGTAATTATTTAAATCTAGAAAGATGATGAAACCCTGGGTCTATTTATATCAAAACTAAATGCATGTATTGAGAAGTTAAGAACACATTATTTAGTATTAAACTAGTCAATTGTTTATTTACCTATTAAACATTTTAACCAGACAGTTAGCATATGGTCTTTCTTGGTAATTTTTCTTATGTTCTGTAACCTGCTAAAAGGTTGAATTATTTTGTTTGCATTATCTTCATGTCCAACACATATAAAACAAAAAGGACACTGAGAAACTGATTAAGAAAGGCATTCTGCTTTTCACTCATTTGGTCATTTCTTTAAAAAATAAAGTATGTTTTCTCTCTGTATTTTCCTAAAATATATTATCATTTTTAATAGGAAACTGTTTTACAACAGTATTACAAGTTAGCACAATACAACCTGAAAAAGGAATCACAAAAATATAATTAATGGCTACCTCTTTTTAGCAACAAAAATAAAAGCTTTAAGATCAAAAGCCAAATATTCAGGTCTTTTGTGCCGGAGTCCAGCTCCAGCAGGTCAGGGTTTCCTGAAAGAGGGACGGTATTGGCACAGGAGAAAAAACTTGGACACTGACTCTGCTGCAAGCAGGACAAATGCCGATTTGTTGTCTTTTCCAACTCCCTTTATACCCTACATGTTTTTTGTTTCCAAGGCAATCAGTTACAATTGAATGAACCGGACAGGCAATGTATCTTTGTTCATCCTGTTTTGATCTTAAAACATCATCCTAAACTATAAATTTTATAAACTTCTAACATTTTTTAATGATTACCATTTCTTAATGTCCATATAAAACTTACTTATTCCTACAACGATTACATTATAAATCACTACCAAGTTCTAAGCACTATAATTATCACATAGATTAACAAGTCACACCTATGACCTTTACACAGCAATTTGCAACTAGCTGGGCTAAAGCAACATTTTCAAGGTTTCTTAGCTGCAAGTTGGCTTGACTAGTTTTTCCTAATTTCACACCTGGTGTTTACAATCTGCATTAATTATTTCCTGCCAGGGAGAATGAGTTTTAATGTTTGCAAAACAAAAGGCCTCTCAGGCTCAAGTCACCAGAATTACAATCCCTAACAGAAGTACAAGCCTCCTTAACAAAGGGAAGTAAAGGCAAGAGTGCTCTAATATTTATGGGATTGTTAATTTTTAAGCATAATACACCACATGTAGACATTAAGAAATTAAGTAAATATAATTTTTGCATTGGCACTCTTCCTAAAAATACAAACTGTAGCTTCTCAAATTTCTCCAATTAGTTGCCAATCAGAAGAAATGAAATCTTACAAGTAATTATCTACCCACACCTGATATTTAAAATCTCTATTGATAATTTCCCAGCAAGGTCAGTGAGTTCCCTGACAAACATTAAATCAAGCACTTTCTGATTTTTTACAATTTTCCCAACTACAATGTTTAATCAAGTGATTGCATGGCTTAATACCAGGAGGCTGGGGACATGGAAACCTAGGGAGGAACTCAAATGAAGGGAAGGTAATTTTTCATGAATTCTCCTCTTGGTTTTTTGCAAGGGGTAGTGGAGGCGAGAGTGTAATTTTGCTTTCCATCCTCAGAACTTTTTTGGCTATGCTAATAACAAAAGTAGAAGCAGCAAGGGTCTCAGCTGCCCAGGTTCACTTTGCGACCCGGGGTCTTCAGCCCCCTGGACTTTGTCAGCAGGAAGGCCTCCATGACTGGCTACCAACACTTTTGACTCTTTATCAAGTTGCACAATAAACACAGTGCCCCCAAAGACAACTCCCTCTACTCCTACCACTAACTGGACCAATTTTGCTCAAGAACGAACTTAGTCCATGGGTGCGTAAGTTTCCTAAGTAGGCAAATGATACTGAAAATAAAAACTTTTTATTTGTTGAGTCCTTCTCTTTCTTCTGTGGAAGAGCAATGAACCATGGCATCTTTCAACTCTGAGGGGAAAACAGCTCAAGGCCAGTGCTGAACGCATCCTGTTACCAGAAACAACTATATTTTCCCCTTTAATTCTCTCATAAACATGGGTTTACACAAGGAGCCAGAGAACTTGCTGATGCAGGAAACAAACATCCCACAGCCCTTCTGTAATGATTGATAGCGTGCCCTAGAAGAATGCCGAGTGTGAGGAGTTCAGTAGATGGTCCCAGAAGCACCAAACAGAGGTATAAAATATGCAGAGCATAAAGTTCTAATTATAATGTGGAATATATTTTTGAATTTACAAAATTCTGACATACACTCACTGTAATCTCCAGATTTTGTCATGTTTGTTGCCATTTTGAGGAAAGTTAACAAGGGATTAAATGAACCACTACTTCATTTTAATTCTGAGAAACATTTGGTTTTGCCATTATTACTCTTTATTGACATAATGATATTTCCACAGACCAAAATATTTTATTACATATATAGCAGAATATATAATTCATAATTATATAGTACAGAAAATAAACTTTTTGGTAGTGTCCTCAGCATTTAGTAATGAAAATCTAGTGACAAACATCTTTAGAAAAATAAAATAAAATAGTCCTTCGGTATTAAAATTTCTCAGTAAAAAGCGTTATACCAAAGTTAAGAGTATGACGTCAGTAATGCATAGATAAGTTAGGCATGAATAAAATGAATCAAATCCCATCTCTTATAGTAAATCAAAATATGAGAAATCTGCATGTCACAGTTTGTCATAGGTCAATTGCAAAAACAATGCATTCAGATTTTTTTCATCATTCTGAGGTTTCTGATGATACAACATTTAAAATAATGCATACCGGGGATATAAGCAATGTACTGCATACTTACTGGGTGAGTTTTATGCCACTTTGCTGAATGCAGGATTAATATATTTGGGCTTTTTATTGCTTGAGTAGAAAGTGCTCATTACTTATTATTTTATGCTTATAAGATAGAAAATTAAAAAACAAAAAATTTTTTTTTAAATGGCATACATCAAACTGTTGTAGTGGTTGATTTCCTCAAGATGGTCTTCTGTGGTTTTGGTGCAGTGGGAGGAGGCACAGTTGCAGGTCTTAGAGGGGGAAAGCTGTTACTGTTGCTGATTCCCGGTCCTCCATCTTCTGATGGGAAAGGAGAGAGATGAGGCGGAGGAGGGAGGGGAGGGCCTTGGTGAGGAATCTTCCCTGGTGGATGAACAGGTTCGTTATGTAAGTGGTCCTCCCTGTTTTTTATGTTATACCGGGTATCACAGTCATGGTACTGCACTTTTTCATTAAACCGAACTCCTTCTTGAGGCCCTTCCTGGGGACACCTGTCCTTTTCAGGTCTATGCATCAGAGGCTGCCCTGGAGCCTTGTCCAAGTTACTATTGGGTGTGCAGCAGATATCTCCATTTGGAATTTTGTTAGGTCCACTTGGTAAGCCTCCGTTTCGTAGAAGGGTGTCATTGGTCTTTACAGGATTGAAGGTTGGCACCACCCTTTGGGGGTCTTCACACTTCACAGGTGTCAACCACGGAGGAGGTGGTGGAGGGTTTGGCCTTCTCAGGACCGTAAAGATACGAGATGGGTGTGCTGGGGGTTTAATAAGCGGTGCGTTAGCCTGCACTTTGGTCTTCTCTAGGCTGGAAGCTGTTGTGCCGCTTGAGCTACTATTCAGCGTGTCTGTTTTGGAGCTGTCAGTCATCTCATCCTCCAGCTGTAGGTCAGAGGTCAGGGTGTCAATCTGGTCAACCACCTGGTGGAAAGGACAAGGTAATTGTGTTGAAGAATGACCCAGAGCAGCATATACTAAAAACAATTTCTTTTTTGCATAACTGTGCTGTGGGAGCCTTGACATATACTGAACAGTGCATTCCATTACTGCTTAATGTTTTCAGTCAATACATTTACAGGATAGAGACCATCACACCAAGGGCCAACTGCTTAAACACAACATTTTACATGCCTGGAATATAATATGCTATCGATGTATGCATTCTAGTCCTGACTCTGCTATACCCATAAGGGATAAACCTTGACACAGGCACATCATTGATTTTTAAAAATAAAAGAGAGGGACTTTCCTTCTACTTAGCATGTGCAAAGTTACAGGAGAACATTGATTTCAAGCTTAAAATGAGAAAAAAGACAGATAATCTGTAAAATCGTATCTTTTCATGAGACCAACAGGGAACTGAGATCACAAAAGCAACCAAATGAATTCTCAAGAGTTTCAAGTCTTCTAAGGATAGACAGGACACATCAACTGTTTCACCTCCAGAAAAACCACAGGAAAGAGAGGCAGCAGTCATCAAAGCAAGTAAAGAAAACAGTTATAACTTTGATGACTAATTAAAGACTGAGTACATGCTATCATGGCAATTCGGAATCCTCAGGAGCCCCAGCCTCATTTCCATGGGCTTCTTGTGAAAGACTGAGGGAAGGAAAGAGACTAGAAAAAGCCCCTTGTGGGCACACAGACACAAAACCCCACCCACTTCTCATACTCTTCTCACAAAGCAGAAGCTTTAAGCATTGGTGGAGTAGCAAGAAACCTCCCAAACTTTAAGATACCAGCAGAGATATTCTGCTTTTGGAACAGGGTAAAAGCAAAAGTTGTCCATAGGAGAAGGACCCTAATCTAGCAAAAAGCAGGTGTCTGCTGTCACTGGGGCCATGGAAGGAAATTACAATCACTCTAGGCCATTGGTCTTTACAGGCACCAGGCCAGATGCAGGGAATCGGACAAGACTGGCAGAGCCATCAGACTGCGATGCAGGTCTGAACTCAACTTTAGAAGACAGGCTGTGAAGATAGGGGAATTGTATGTAAGCATCTTAGACAATGCAGTTCCAAGGAAAATTTGGCAAGGATACTGAGGAATCCGACATCTCCCATAACAGGCTGGATGTAGTAATCTTTGCTCTGTTCTATCATTGGCTGAGAGTAGCTTATGAATATCACAGTCCCAGCTCAACTGCTGGATTTCTGAGCACAGCAATGAGAACCTCAGTCATTTATACTCCTTGTTGTCAGAGATCTCAGGGGCCACTCTCATAGCCACCACACATGCACTATATGTAAAAATGAAAAAATTATGACTTATTTTAAAATAGTTTATATAAGGAGACATTCCCTTAGTTTCACACATGTCCATACCATTTATTCCATATGGACCATTTTCACCTCCTCTCTTACTTAGGTCTAAGTTTATTCAACAGTGTAGTTGGCTCTTTGACACATGGTGGCAGGATTGGGCTCAAAATGAAACACCACAAGCATCTAGAAACTGAGGATGGAGAGACTTTACTTTTTACTCATGAGGCTCGTAAGTGAATGATTCCTCCAAACAGGTAAATGCCACCTGGGCTCAGTCTTTGAATAGTTCACAGGCCTACAAACTCAACAGTTTAAACAAGTTCAAAAAATGCAATTAATTCAACATATTTCTTCTCATGTTTTTTATTTTAGCAAAGACAACACAAATCTCCCATTTGAATAGTCAGAAACTCAGAAACTATTCTTTCTTTTTTTTTTTTTTTGAGTTGGAATCTCACTCTGCCACCCAGACTGGAGTGCAGTGGCCACTCCTGGCCACTGCAGCCTCGACCTGCTGGGATCCGGCAATCCTTCTGCCTCAGCCTTCCAAGCAGCTGGAACTACAGGCACGTGCTACCACGCCCGGCTAATTTTTGATTTATTGTAGACATGAGGTCTCGCCAAGTTGCTGAGGCGGGTCTCGAACCCGCGGGCTCAGGCAATTCATTCACCTCAGCCTCCCAAAGGCGCGGGATTATAGGCTGAGCCACTGAGCCCGGCTCAGAAACTATTCTTGACACCCTTCTTTCATTACCTTCTTGTTAGGGCTTCTAGAGAACAAGTGCTTCTATTTTAGCTCCTAAATCCATTCTCTTTCTCCATTTTCACTTCTGTGATACTTCTGTGATACTGTGAGCCTTCATTATTTACCACATGGACCACACAGTCACCTTGCTTCCCCTTTATTTTCTGTAGTTTCAGTAATTTTTTTCATAGAAGTGTGCTTTTGTCAACTTCCTGCTTATATCTATTCAATGCCTGCTCATCTCTCCTGTAATAACGATCAATTCTTAACATGAACTTCAAGATCCTGTATAATCTCACTCAATGGCGGCCTGGTAAGTGCTTAACAACAGGCTCTTAGCACTCTAAGGGTGTCTTGAAGAGTTTGTCAATTTTCAGGGTGTAAAATCCTAGAGTGATTGATTTCAGATTAGTAAGGCAACACCACTGAATGTGAGGTTCGGAAGAAATGTGCAGTAGTACATTATAAAGTGTTTCCACTGTACTGATACAATAGACATAAATAAACTCAGGAGCACAAATAATAGTAAACTGCAGTCAAATAATTTAAAATAATGAGTAATAATTAGAAGAGCTTTGTTTTTAATGTAATTTGTTTAATTGAAAGTTTATATAGTTTGGTTTTAAATAATGATTGTGTTTAACAATCAGCTTACAAAATTTCTGAAAATATGATTGACTTTTGTTAGCCAGTATGTGTCAGTTCCAGCACATCACTGTCTCTCACTCCTAAAAACTATCTCCATCCTCAAATCTAATATGTTTCCCTTTTTAATATCTGTTCTCAATCTCTCTGGTCTTCTTTTATACAATTCCTGCCACAGAATGTTTACACATACTAATATTTCTTCTTGAAATACTCTGCCTTCACCTCTTTATCTAATTAACTTTTACATATCTTTAAAATCATAGCTCACAGACTGGGAAAAAGTATTTGCCAACTCCATGTCTGACAAAGGCCTAACATCTAGGATCTACAAGGAACTCAAATGTGCTGAAAAGAAAAAAACAAACAACCCCATTACAAAGTGGGCAAAAGATAGGAAACAGACACTTCACAAAAGAAGACATATGAGCGGCCAACAGATACATGAAGAAATGTTCAACCTCACTAGTCATCAAGGAGATGCAAATTAAAACTACACTGAGATACCACCTAATTCCAGTCAGAATGTTTATTATCAATAACTCAAAAAATAACAGATGCTGGAGAGGATGTGGTGAAAAGGGAATACTTCTATACTGTTGGTGGGAGTGTAAACTAATTCAGCCTCTGTGGAAATCAGTGTGACGATTCCTAAAAGCTCTAAAAATAGACCTTTCATATGACCCTGCAATCCCCCTACTGGGAATATACCCTGAAAAACTCAAATCACTCTATAAAAAAGATACCTGCACATGTATGTTTATCACAGCATTGTTCACAATAGCAAGATCATGGAACCAACCATGCTGTCCATCAAAAGAAGACTGGATTAAAAAAATGTGGTACATATACACAATGGAATATTATGCAGCCATTAAAAAGAGCAAAATCATGAATTTTGCAGTAACCTGAATGGAATTAGAGTTTATAATACTGAGTGATTTCTCACAGAAACAAAGATCTGGGTATCACATGTTCTCACTCATAAGTGTATCTTGAACAACTATTGTAATACCATAAGAAAAGGATTGATAGTGGTGAGAGACTGTGGAGTGCACAGGGAGGGGAAGGGAGGTGGGATTAATAGTAATCAATATCTGTCAGGGGATGGGGGGGCACACCTCATCAACAAGGGTACCTGCACAATGCATATTTGTATACCTAACCCTTAACTGTACCCCACAATTTTAAAATAAAAAATATGTATAAAAATAAATAAAATTATAACTCAAGAGTCACACATGAAGTAAGCCTTTCCAATCCTTCTGCAATTATAGGTCAAGTTAATGGGTTAAACATTCACAAGAAATCTTTCTTTCATTCAAAGAATTCACATCATTTCAAATTACATGTTTACTGATATTGTGAGTATTCGAATAATGTTTCCCATTTGATTATAATCTCAGTGAGAACAAGGCTCCTGTTTGGTTTTCCTACTGTATCCTAAAGGCCTAATATGGCAACTTGTACTTATTGGGGGCTCAGCAAATATTTGTTAAGTAAATATATTGAGGGTTTTTTCTTCAGTTCAAATGTGTATAAAGAATTTTCCTTTTTATCTGATTTTTGGAGGAGTTGTTACTTTAAAACTTGCTCAATTATTCTAGAAGAAAATGAGGAATAAAAGGATTTATTCAACTTGACCCTCAAGTTGGTGGCATGTTCTCTGGCTTCAAGTCACATATTTTAGAAATTAAACTAGGAGGATATCTAAAGAACGTGAGAGGTAGAAGGACATTCTTGGCTCATGGCTACTTAAACTATTTCATCTGCAGAAGCTATCCACCCCACACATTTTATTCTATTAAATTATGCAGCTAAAGCAAGAAAATGAATCTACTGTGAGGGTAGTGAAGCTGAATTTCAGAAACGAATAAATACTTCCTAGGTCCCTCATGATTTCATACTTCCTGGCTGGTTTCAATCTCTACATTAGCGTTATTTCCTGAGAGCCTATAAAGTGCCAAGAAGAAAACAAACAAACAAAAAAACACTGCCATGAAGGAGCAGGGAATCTGGTGAAAGAGCCTGATTTTAACTAGATGCTCAAACCAGTAATTGTGAAAGTGCAACTGCCCCAAGTGCTTGGACAAATACAAGATATAAAGGAGACTAGGACCACATCACAAAGGCCAGTGAAGCATTCTGGCAGGATGAGTTTCAGCTAACTGGCAGAAAAGTGGTTCAAGCAGTGTGCTCAGGAAAGAGCCTAATAAGGGCCTCTGGCAGAT